ATTTTTCTGTACCCTATTTTCTTATAACAATATTTTACGTGTATATACAAGAACCTAAAAGTAAATAAAAGATAAATAACACTGCTGATTAAGATTCGAAAGAAAATCAACTTAAACCAAATATGGATATTAGAAAAAAAATCAATCCGCATCTATGACAACGGGGCAAGTAACCAGAAGCATGGCAACATTGCCACCTTTTATGGCAATGGTACTTAATCTTCTGTCCTAAGGTTTCTTTTCAATATATTTCTAGCTGGCAAGTCATAATAAAAATTTTAAGAATGCTTGCTCTAAGGCCTATTTACAAAAAAAAATTCATTGTTTATGTGTAATGCGATTAAATTCAAATAAAAAAGAAGATAGTATTATAGTCTTCTATTAATAAATATAACACCAAAAACCAACAATCGTCAAACAATATTTACACTAGTAATACAACAAAACACATACGAAATAAAAACGGCATGGCATTATACACCTAAACAGCATTCATATGTTAAAACAAAAATAAATCAAATGAATAAATGTTAATAGATATCATATTGCTTTGATATTTAGATCATGAATTTATTATTTAACAATTTTGTTTTGTACAAATAATTCAATTGATTAACGTAATGGAGATTCGAAGTTTTAACGCATGCGGTTCTCGACGTTGACAATAATTATTTTGGTAATACAATTATGAGAATTAATATCAAAAATTTTGCTTAAATAACTTAAATGTCTATATTTCAATATTCTACCAAGCCAATGAAATTAAAAATTATACAAGCTTATTTCATCATGGATTTGTGTACAAAATAATGAGACAAATTAATCACATCAGTGATTAATTCTTTAAGTGTGGGAAAGCAATGCTTCGGCACGGATGGGTCGGCTAGACCGGAGTGATACCAAGGCCTCACAGAAAACCGGCATGAAACAACCACACTGTTGTGTTTCGCAGTGTGTGTGAGGTTACCGGAGACCCAATCCTACCCCTTCCCCAATCCCTCCCCAGTTCCTAAATCTCCAAATCCCTAATCCCTTTCGTTCGTTGCCGCGTTTATGGGGATTAGTTCGGAAATTTAGGGATTGGGGAGGGGAAGGATACTCAAGGCAGATTGGCGATTTCAAACTGAAGATTGGAAATTATGGCGGATCTCAATCTCCAGGCAATCATGACACCTAATACAATACAATTAGGTAATCGTTTTTGAAGACATTATTTGCAGATCGATTGGTAGAGAGCGGTTAATTTTTATATGATTTCGTCTAAAGTAAAAAAACAAGATTGTTTTAGTTATAGTTTTGATAACTCATATCAAATATAACATAATTAAAGTCTGCAAAAATTCACCCGCTGCTCGGCTCCATTTAATCGTAGCGTAATGTTTTATAATAGCCTATAGCGCTCAGGAACATTTTAGTTATCTATCAGTGAAAGAATTTTGGCAATTCGACCAGCGGTTCCAAAGATTACCCCCTACATACAAACTTACAAATTTTACCTCTTTATAAATAATACTAGTATAGAAGTATAGATACCGTGGTGACACGCATATTTACTGCTTATTAATCGAAATCCCGTTATAACTTGAAACTAGTCTTTTCTTAGTTGATTCATGTGGGTCTCTTCACTGAAAGTTCCTTTCAATCAATATAGTGCCTTCTATAATAAAAGTCACGATAGTTCCTACATATTAATAAAACTTTTACTATTCATACTTTTCAACCTATCAAACCGAAAACCAATTACAATTTTACACCAAAACCGATTAAAATATTTAGTTACAAATGGCGCTAAATATTTTATTCTCTCTCCTTTAGATTAATAAATAAAAACTATAAAACAAAAAATTAAACCTATAAAACTGACCGTCGTTTTTCCCACAGCATCAATATTTATTGACCTGACCTCCAAAATCTCCAAGAGCGTTAGCATGTCGCAAGTTTCCATACAAAACAAAAGTCCAAAATAATAGAAACTTTATTTCAATATTATCAACGTCTTAAAAGATAGTTATCTAAAGAGTTATGAGTGATACAGAGAAAGAGATAAAGATAGAGGGGGGCAAAGAGGCAGGAAGAGATGGAAAAAGACATGGGGGAGTTTTGAAAAAGAAAAAAGGGAACGATGGTTGAAAGATAGAGGAAGAGATGAAAAAAGAGAGATATAGTAAGACCTATAAAAAGAGAGAGGGCGAATCACTGAGAGATTAAAAAATGCATACGAACTAAAGCTCACATTATTGTTTCATACTATGGTGTACGAGAAGTAGTTGTAAGCCAGACAATGCATATTCTCTATAAATCAGTCAATAATAATTGGTCAAAGGATATTATTCTAAACCTTATAACCGAACTTTTAAGATCAGTTTCTTGTTTCATTTCCCATGAATATAGACTTGAAAGTTTTTATGGAAACGCTCGCCGCGTAAACGCTTTAAAGGCTGAGAAACTTTGAAACAGCCACTTAAGTGATTAAAATAACTACCCGTTAAATATTGGAAACGAAATTGAAAGGTAATTTGGTATTTGCGTGCGAATTTTTATTTACCTTCGCAGTATGGGTGAGATTATTATTTTTGGTTGTTATTTATTTATGAGTATTTAATATATTTTGTTTACCTTGTTTTAATTTTTTTTATCTTTATCAGTTTATTTATGGAATTTTTTGGCGAAAAACTCGTCTAGTTTGAAGCTATGGATAGGCGCGAAGGGACGCAACTTTATAAAAAACTAGCTACTATCGCGCGGTTTCACCCGCTGCTCAGGTTTTATAGCCTATAGCACTCAGGAACATTGTAGCTATCTATCAGTGAAAGAATTTTGGCAATCCGACCAGCGGTTTCAAAGGTTACCCCCTACATACAAACTTACAAACATACAAACTTATAAATTTTACCTCTTTATAATATTAGTATAGATAAATTCATTGTTTCATTGTTATTCGCCCTTGTCTCCAAAGGTCTGCCAGCAATGCTAGTTGCTTCCTCGGCGTAGGTATCTACGAGCGTGATCGGCGCTTTCTATTCGATAGTCTTATTTTTAGTCATGAGCCTTTCCCCTCCAATTTCTATCTCTGTCAGTATAAAATCTTGAAGAAAGGCATTCTTTTTTTAAATTTCGGCAACGCATGGTTATACATGGGGGGCGCTGATCACTTACCATCAGGTGGTTGGCCTGCTCGTTTGACTCCTTTTACACAAAAATAACTAAAGATCCTTGAGTCGTATTAGGTATTATTGAGTAATACAGTGAAACTTAGATAAAGTTAATAAGCGTGAAACTTACAATTGTACAAACAATTTGGCCAAACCATATCTTAGTATCTTCACGTACCTATAATATTAATAGGTAGTCTTTATTAAACGTGTAATATTAATACGTGTGTAGTCTATAATAATAAAAATAAATGAACGACCATACTTAAGCATACCTACTTTAATTAAAATAGCAAACTAAATCAATTCGATCGACTAATTAATCAATCTATGTATTACATTTTTAGGTTCAGTTTTGCATGACTTCTCATTAATTATTATGATTAATTTTACCAGGAATAATTTGAGGATTAATCATTCAGAGCTTCTTTAATAAATGTATTATAACAACTTTATAAATTGCAAGTACATTTCGATTAATCAAAATATAACTTTTTTTGAGGAGTATTCCGTAACCGGTTAATATCTATAAGTGTGGGAGAGTCAAGCTTCGGCACGAATGGGTCGGCTCAACCGGAGTGCTAACCACGGAATCACAGAAAACCGGCGTTAAACAACACCGTGTGAGTGAGGTTACCAGAGGCACAATCCATCCCCTCTCCTAATCCTCTAAACCTCCAAATCCCTTATCCCTTATCCCCAAATGATCGGCAACGCACTCGTAACTCCTCTGTTGTTGCGGGTGTCCATGGGCGGCGCTGATTGCTTGCCATCAGGTAATCCGTCTGTTAGTTTGCCGACCTATCACATAAAAAATATACCTACTCGTTTTTGATTTTCCAACTAATCATATCTTTTGAATTGTACACACGTACCAATTTAAAGAAAATGGTTGATAGATACGTCTTACTATCACTTTTTAAAAGTAATTTTAAAGTTTTGGGGTGACTTGTTTAAAATAAAGCTTAAATAACTAGCCGATTCAGTGAACTAAATATTGTTGTAAAAAAAAACAATAATTAATGTCAGTTAATGTTAGAATAAAACAGTACTGTCTTTAGGACTATTGAAACTTTTTTAGCAATTTTACATTAATTTGAGATCGAGATTAATTTAACAGCCCAAGGCCTAAGATTCCTGAAGATGTTTTTCACCATATTCTTATGACAGTGATCATAAAAGGTAGTTACATATAATGCGGAAAAAGTTAAATTGGTACTTGCCAAAACCTACCAATTCAACTTTTTCATTTAACTTCAACAAGGCGTATTATTCCAAGTCGACATTTAAGTAGATATTTTTAACTTTGCATAAGTTATTTTGGGAAACAATACGTTAAAAACAAAAAATATTTTTAGAAGACAGATTTTTCTGACATTAAACTGAAGCAGTAAATTCCCTACGGGCGCAATGGAGCCAAATTACTTGAAAATTTGTCCTGACAAATTTTGACAGAGACATTTTTGCTTTTTCTGTATTTACTATGTGAAAGTTTCCAAAAAGACCTATAATAAGTCCTTCGTCTTCTACAGAATAATAATAAAGTGTGCAAAATATTTAAACAGAAAAAGGCAAATACAAAAAAATAACTGAGCTGTTTTGAATCCTGCACTCGTGCAATGTGTAAGATATACATTGCACGAGTGCAGGATTTATAATCTTACACAAAAAGTTATAAAGTCGAAAATCTTTTAAACACATTTAATAGTTTTGAATATTTTATTTGCTGTATTATATTATATGTTATACATGTTTAATCATCAATCAATAATAAAACAGGTACGGCAAGATCTCTTCATATTCACATATTTATGAACCAAGCTTAATTCGTTTATTTCTCAATTCCAGGAAAACAAAACCTACTCGCTATGGGTGACAGCAAACGACGGCTCCATACCACAAAGATTAGAAGTCTACGCAACAATCTCCGACAAATCGGGCAAAAGGCCGAAGTTACCTCATCCACTAAACTTGAACTTCCCTGCCTACCCGAGTTTACCTATGCAACCAAAGTTTACGAGGACGACACAAAGTACTACCAAAGCAACTCATATTTACGTAACAGTACCTGAAGTGACCACATCACTGGCAACTCTAAGTCCTCCGAATACTCCAGATGATGTCCCTCCTGGAGGAATGAATATAGTTCAAAACGATGATGGAACAACGAGCACTGAAGCTCCGAATAAGAATCCTACGAACAACGATGTGCCTTTGACCATGGTTCCTTTAGTAGCTATAGGAGCTCTTGTGGTGATAGTCGCTGTTGTCATACTTTTCGTCTGCAAGAAAAATAATGCTCAAAAGAAGGAAAGCAAGAAAGATGATATGGTAAGATAAATAATTGTTATACATTTTCAACACAATGCAGAGAAACTAAGCGTCATTTATTTTTCATCAGGCATTAAGGGTTAGCTCACTCGACTTTGTAGAATAAAAATAATGTGTGCTGCAATAATACGTAGCTGGACGATTTGCTGCTACACGTTTTTGAGTAGGCGTTCTTGCGGAGACAATGTCCTTTGTGGAATCTTTTTTGTTCTAATAAGTTTAAAATGAACATTTTATTTATTTTCAAATAAACAACTAGGGCATAATTATCCAAAGCTTTAATAATACAGTCGAAAACAAAAAATAAAATGTGGCGTGGAGGTGACATTCAATGATTTTACAGTTGGTGCGGTGGCTGGGTAACTAGCTCCTGCACAACCTGTCGCGAGTTTGACTCCCACACGGAATTACAAGTTGTGTAATCCACAAATCGGTGTTCCGGGTCTGGGTGTGATGTGTATGTGAAATTTATGTCTGTAAACGCACCCACAACACAGAAAATCCTAGTAATGAGTCTCGTTTTATGAAAAAAATAAACAAAAAAAAGGAAACAAATATGTGCAACCTCTATCTAGCTACAAAACATCATAAATGCAAACTTATATAATACATAATGATGATATAACTTTGGTACAACGTAATCTGATTTTAAGCGATTATAATAATATTCATATATATGTAGTATCCGATGCTACATTACCGCAACCTAATTTAAAGCTCATCCAACTAACTTATTAAAGGTTAAAATATCTGCAGGTAATTTCAGTCCATCGATGGTATCGTGTTTATTTTAGTATCGTATAAAATTTTGTAGTAATTATTATAAAGTAAATAATGTAATAACCGCGATATTATTATCATTTTATATTCGATACATATTTTTTAATAAAAATAGTAGTGTATTTACAAATTTAATATTCGTTTAGTTTGCATGTATTTGTATAATTCTAGAATTTGAATTTTTAAAAATAGAACTTGAAAGTTCTATTTTTAAAAATGAATAAGTAGGGGCCAGCTAGCGAGAACATGATCCAAGTTACTATCTCTTATACTTGATTATGTTTATATCTATTAGGTTTGGGTGCCAAATCGCAAACCTCCTTACAATACTATGTCTCAAGAAGAACTGCCTTCAGCATCAGGCCTTTGACTCAACCGCCTTAGTTTAGTTATAATTTAAATAATCTAGATGAATTTAGTCATTCTTGATATTATAATCTAAAATGTTAACTTTAAAAATATATACCGGGTAAGTTCGGGTTACTTTGACCCTGGAAGGTAACTTTGATCCAAACCCTTTAACCAATAATAACTGAGAACCAAACATATATTCGTTTTTCATTGGTTCGAAAATTTGGATCAAAGTTACCTCCCAGGGTCAAAGTAACCCGAACTTACGGTACTCTCCGCAAGTCACTCGTTTATGTCAAGAACCGACAAAGTCTATCAAAACATGACTCTAAAATTATCTTTTCTTCATTCCCCAAGCTTATAGACGCTACCAGCTATATTTAGCTGTCACTTCATTTTCTCAGTATTTTCTCCTCGAATTCTATTAATCATAGGATTCTTGGTAATCCATTTTATTAATAAGCTTCAGATTTAATACTGTAATCGTTTTTGTTTGCAGAGTAAGGACTCGAGTGGGATCGTTCTTCAAGACGCTTCGCTTAATATGTGGGATCATCCACGCGCTTACTCGAACCGTTACGAATCTTGGGACAATAATCATTTACAGGTCAGTTACAGGACCTTGTTTATATTAATAACTCATATTGTACCCCGAAGTAGTGGGCTAAAGTGTAGGCTTACGATACCTCAATGCGACCTCTTATATTGTGATCAAAGACTAGGCTAGCGCCCTTTTATTCAATCGAACATTTTAGTCGAGATAAAAAAAAATTGTTCTCCAAGAATGTAATTATAAAAACGAAAGTATTCTATTATATGTGATTCTTTTTTAATATTTCTTATTACGTAATTACTCTATCTTCTGTTGTAACTATGGAATCATAAGTTAAAACGAGATATTTTTCATTTAGGTACTTAGATCGGCACTCACGGTACTCACGGCAAGCCTAATAAATATGCTACTTCAGAAAATGTTATAATACCTCTTAAGAGTGTGCTTACCACAAATGATCTTAGAATAAATTACGTCCTATACGATATTAAAAAAATGACAATGATACTTTGGTCAACCACAATTATTTCATATCATTCGTCGGCAAACGAGCATACCGATAACCTACGCCACCAGTGGAGTCAAAACTGCTTTGCTGGCCTTTTATGGTTTTGTTAGCCTAGTTTTGGCGATATAGGGATTTGAGAAGGAAGAGAGTAATGGGAAATGTTAGGCCTCCGGCAACCTGACTCATACGGTGAAACGCAACGCTCTGGTTTCACGCCAGATTTTTGTGAGGCCGTGGTTACTCCGGTCGAGCTGACACATACGTGACCCGATCGAAACCCTTTTTGTCAAGAACAATAAACACTAGAAATAGGTCCAAAATAGCAATCAAAGTCCTCAATTCATAATACTTTCTTTACACATACATATTTTAAGATACAACTACGAATCTTTATTTTTTTTTTTAACGTTGCCCCACTTTAGGATTTTCTCCTGTGTTGTGGGTGAGTTAACAAATATACAATTTTACATACACAACACACCCAGACCCGAAACAAGAATTTGTGGATCACACAAAGTGTTGTTCTGTGCGGGAATCGAACCCGCAACTCGTTGCACAGCAGCCAGTTGCCCAGCCACCGCGCCAACCTTGCAGTCAAATCTATGAATGTTATTAGATTTTTTGTAACAAAAATGCTGAAGTTTCGATAGTGGTTTCGATACAGATGTCTCAACCTACGCTTGCGAGCAAATATAAATAAAATAAAATAATGAAATCCTTTTTGTCGTAGTCTACGCGTGTACTAATATTGAATGCGGTTTGAATAAAAATGTTTTATGTAACAATGTAGTGATTGTTGTGTTTCTGTAATTTCATTTACTGCCTACCGAATCCATTTATTTAAAAAAAGACTCTTTCGTTATTTTGTTTTCAATATTCCTAGTACTATACTCGGACTTTTAATTCCATTCCAGATTTGACAATTTCAGTGTTGCAACGTTATGACACGTATTAAATAGTGACGTTGTGAAATTATTCGATGTGGAAATCGAATATTTCTGAATCGATTCCTCTCGTTTATAAATTTAATCTCGTATACTAAGTTTATCAGGAAATAAAATATTTCTGATCCGATTATTTAGTTTTGACAATTAATTAACGATCTGAGACTTTTCTTTTGTAATTGTGTGTGAAATTAATAAAAAATGTGATCATGAAGGAACGTGACAAATAAAACAGACATTTTATAAATTGTCGCCGTCATCGCTATCGCTATCGCCGTTACTCCATGTAACAATTATTATGAATTGTGTCTTTTATATTTATTGTCAATTAACATATCTAGCTTACTCATTTTTTCCTCTTCTTTGAAAACATGGGATAGACATTTAGACCATTCGGTAGCCGTAATTTTTTGAATGCCTTCCTGAAACTGATTCACTGATTGTTTATCGATTTTTGTGTTCATCACTACATTGTTATATGTGGTATCATTATTTCACAAAATGACAATAGGTCATGTCAAATCAGGAATCGAATTAAAAGTCTGACTATAGTAATAGGCAGTTTGACACTTTGTTCTTACGCTGTAAATGTTAAATTGTTTGATAAGAAAGTAAGTGCTATGATTATTTTTTATTGTATTCTGTAGGTTGTTACGTTTATGCCAGTTAAAAAGTAGAACACATAATGTTCAAACATTGATATTTAGTTAACGCAAAATTATTTAATTTAACAATTTTCGATTTGTGGTAGCCTAACTATCATCTCCAACCCTTAAATCGCTTATCATAAAAAAGTCAGCTTTAGTCTCGCAACTCGTCTGATGTTACGGATATCTATTAGCAGGGCCTTTTACTAACTATCAGGTTGGTCATCTACTCTTTGCCGACTTTATAAATAAGTTTATCTGCTTTTTATGGTAGTCACTTTTAGGGTACCTACACAGTAGTGAAATCATTATATTTTCCATAGCAACTATAACAGTATTTTTGTGTGATCAAAACATATTATTTATTTATTTATAGTACTGCAACGAATACGTTCCAGTTGTGCCTCAGCCTTTGCGATTGTGTGCTTAATGTTTTGTATTTATGTGTCGACGACTCGTATTTAGAGACATTTGATGTTTTCCCCTCCTTAAACTCAGCTAGTTTAGTAACCATAATTAAGTAGCGATTAGTATACTAATATTACTAATTTAATATCTTTAACACGAAAATTCAACTTACAGTTGTCAGAAGAAACGTCGATTTCAAAAGACTACCAGCCACCAGACAAATGGGAGTTCCCTCGACATAAATTGAGGATCTTCAACATCGTGGGAGAAGGTGCCTTTGGCCAGGTGTGGCGGGCTCAGGCTTTGGATATTGGTGGTAAGTAATGTTATATTTATATAAAAATGTTTATAATCGCATCTAGTAAAAATTAAAAAAAGAAAATATTTTTACCTTAAAGTAAACGAATCACTTTTTGTTGTTGTTTGATGTTTATGTAGATGTTTTTTTCTCATAAGTAGAATTTATAAAAAGATTAATCGAATAATTTAGAATAAGTACACTCGAAGAAATAAAATTTATTGATATATTGATCGATCGACTGCCCCGACGATTCAGTTGTCGTAAATACGACTACAATTCCCGGGTGATGCCAACTATTATTTTAATTTTTACGGTACGGTGAAGTGTGGGAGAGCCATGCTTCGGCACGAATGGGTCGGCTCGACCGCAGTGATACCACGGCCTCACAGAAGACCGGCGTGAAACAACCACAGCGTTGTGTTTCGCCGTGTGAGTAAGGTTACCAGAGGCCCGATTTTGACGTTTCAAAAGTACCTATTTATGGTTTAGTTGGAATAAATGATTTTGACTTTGACTTTGACTTGACCCAATCCTTCCCCGCCCCAATCCCTCCTCAATCCTTAAATCTCCAAATCCCTAATCCTAAAAGGTCGGCAACGCACTCGTAACTCCTCCGTTGCGGGTGTCCATGGGCGGCGGTGATTGCTTACCACAGGTAATCCGTCTGCTCATTTGCCGAGCAATTACATAAAAAAAAAGTTAGAAAATTTTAGGTGTCTTGGGTCGGGAATTATGCCCGGGATGTATATGGCAATGGACTAACTATCTATAACATGGTACTCATCACAAAATTAGTGAAAAGTGTGTGTATGGATTATATGTATTGTGGCACTCAAACAACGCTGTGGTTATTTCACGCCGCCGGTTTTCTGTGAGGCCCTGGTATCACTACAGTTGATCCGATCCATTCGTCGCGAAGTATAGCTCTCCCGCATTTTACAAAACAACTATTACATCCCGGTTACATTGACTAAGCTCGCTAAGGACAACAATTTGTTCGTGAAACCATATAATTAATTACGAAGCAGGCACGAATAGTGGCGCTGTGGTCCCTTACTCGTAATCCGATGGGACGGTAAGCCGACAAGATCGCGAGGAGACCCGGAAGGATTTACATGACTTTCTGAGGCAAAAGCGTAAATCATTCTGGCTATCCTTCACCTTGCAGGTGATTTTATGGTAAATTGTTTCTTGACACGAAACCTTAAAACATGAACTATAATTTGATATATTATATTTCTTTTCAAAGAAATACACATAGATTTTTATCAATTCTAGAGTGGTACTAAGGCCATTATGTAAGATTGTGTGATTACCCAAAATTAATCCATACTAGCTATACTAATATTATAAAAAGAGATAAAATTTGTAAGTTTGTACGTAGGGGGTAATCTTTCGAACCGCTCTGGCCGGATTGTCAAATTTCTGTCACTGGTAGATAGCTACAATGTTCCTGAGTGCTATAGGCTATAAAACATCACGCTACGATCAAATGGAGCCAGGCAGCGGGTGAAACCGCGCAAGAGTAGCTAGTAAAATACAAATACATCAGCAAAAATAAATCTGTACTTACTTAAACACTGAAATACATTAGCTAAACTAACATTCAAGATAATAAAATTCAATCTTTGCTTATTTGCTTTTATATTTTATTTACATAATAAATCAATCATACACAAAATTGCGACTGAATTAATTTCAAATGCAAAAACAGAATACAGCTTTTATTTCAAATCTGAATACATTTAAAACGCATTTTAAGTGCAATTTTCCAAATATTCCACTTCATTGAATACAGGTTTTCTAAAAAATAACGACGAAAATAATCGGGGGAAGAGAAGGGAAGTGATTGAATAGTGACTTCCTGCAGATTTTTGGTAAAAAAATCCTATACTTATCTTATGTATACTTATATTATATTATAATGTATATGTACGCCGTAAACTGCCCGTATCAAATTCTTCTACAGTTAAACTCCATCCAAAGGTTGTCTGAAAGAAATTGCTTTTAAGCGATAAGACCGCCAATTGTACTATATTTTGTGTTTTTTTGTTTCCTATGTTTTTTATTATTATGCTGTAAAAAAATAAAGTATATTCATTCATTCATTCATTCATTTATGTCCTTTCTCAAATTCCAAACTATGTCTGTACCAAATTTCACAGAAATCGGTTTAGTAGGCGATAAGAAAAGACAGACAGACAGAGTTACTTTTGCATTTATAATATTAGTATAGATAGAAAATATTTTTGATTGACGATTGAAAACAATTAATCCACGAAATAAGTTAGAATAAAACATCTCTATTATTTTTAACATTGATACTATGAAAATACTTAATCGACAAAAAAGACAGCAACAAACAAGCAAGTCTTCCAACTAGGTACATTTAGTTCATTTTATACTTTGGACGAAAAAACATTTTACCCAAAAGATTAGGTACCTTAAATCCAATCAACAAAGTTGGATTTGAAATGACAGTAAGATAAGATATTCCAACAGGGTAGACAGGTTTTCACACTCATTTTCTTGAATGAAAAACCTTGAAAGATACGAAATGGCACTTTGGATTTTGCAAAATAATTTTGGCAAACAATCTTCGCTTAATCGGTCAGCAGATCAATCTTGACAAAAAGACAACAGATCTTTTTATATATGCATAGATTGTATCAAGGACCCCTTTAATGTGTGGTGTATTTCTTGCTTGCCTTATCACAGGTCAATGCTGATACTAAATTACTCAATTTCTCCACTATTTAATGGATGTTATTAGATATATAAATATATTTTTCAATCACTCTTAGTAATTAAAAAACACGCATCAAAGTCGTTGTATAGTTTTTAAGATTTAATCATATATAGGATACCTATAGGTACTGAGAAAGCGACTTTGTTTTATAATATGGAAGGATAACAAAAGTGTTCAGAAAATAATTTTCTAACTTAGACTGAAAAAGTCTTAAGCTAACTAAATATGTATAGCTATATGCTTGTAAATAAGGAAATTTTCAAACCGGTCAAGTACATAGTTTTGGAGCATATTCATTTCAAATAAACAATTAAAAAAAAATCCTCTTTAATAATATTAGTATAGATATAGACTTTTTGTTCCTCTTTTCCTCGATACCTAATGTGTTTACACATTTTAAACCGTTAAACTTAAATTTAAAATTGGAATTTTCGAAATTGGATTAGCTATCACAGCAAAACTCCATCTTTATGAGAAACCAGCATATTATCACGTAGTACACTAAAACAGCTCGTTTATTTACATTGCAAGGTTTCCCCAATTCATTCCAATTCACGTCCACGCGACACATAGTGTCGACAGTACAAGTGGAGTGAGCCATTTGACATATATCTCTAAATGCAACTGTTCTTTAGTTAGCAACCCTAAACACGTCTGTGTTGCGGTTCCTTATGTATATGCGATAGGGATGTGTCTGAAGAGGTTTTTACTGAATCTTATAAAAATAAATACTACTTCAAAGTTAATTGTGAACTCCGATTGCATAAAATGGTATCCGAAATCGTATTCAGCGGTTTTGTATCGAATTGGCAATTGAAATTATAATGGGAAATGTTTCCTGTGTCACACATTAGTAAATTTGAACAATCACACCAATTCTAATTAGATTTAATTATTGAAATCTTGAATGTCTATCTGATTTGATGGGTTAGTCTAACTTGAAATTTATTATTAAAATGTATGTTAGGAAAAACCTACAGCTATTTGTAAAAGTATCTGACAAGCATGACTATCTTACTAGACATAGAAATAGATTAAGTCAGCCTTTATTTAGATTAGCAAAAGTGCATAAGTCGTTCATGGGATTATGTGTTAAATGTTATAATAAAATCCCAACTGAAATACAAAATCTTAATGAAAGTAAATTTAAATTATGTATAAAGAAAGTATTATGTAGGAAAGCATACTACAAACTAAATGATTATATAGAAGATAAAAATGCTTGGAGGGTGGCTGGTTTGACTGCACAGGATAAAAATTGTTAAGAGGAATTTTGATCTCAATTATTAAATTATTCACCATGTTGTTGATTGTTGATAAACTAGATTTTTGTAAATGTGAGAGCCCTGTAACTTATTATAATTGAGTTAGACTTATAGTATATTGGTACTTGTGTCAGTTGGGAGTTGTCATGCTCACTCAGGAGTCTCATTGGCGGTGGCACGGGCACTGGACCGCTCGGTTCCCTATAATATGGTTGAGTTGGGCGGTGCTGGTGTACGTGTCATGTTCGTGAACGGACGCCGCCTATTGGGACTGGTCAACTCGAGACTGTCTAAAGTTGCTGTCCCTGAGGGTTATTTCTTTTTCGGATACTTTGGTTAAACACTAGTGTTACACTGTTCTCACATAATGGAGCTATCTAAATTATGTAACAATGTATTGTAAAAAGTGATTGAAAAAGAGTAACCATGGAGTTTCTTGCTCGTTCTTCTCCATAGGAATCTACACTTTGGAACGAGCAAATAGCTTCACTAGAGGACAGACGGACAGACTGACACATAAAGTTAAACCTTATGATATCTTTTTTGCTTGACGTTCAAAAGTGCCTTTTTTGGTCTATTTGAAATAAAGAATTTGATTTGATTTGATTTGAAAAAAATATCATTTTCCTATGCGATAAGTTAGAAAGTTTTAGAAACAAGCGAACCACGACATGTAATTTTGAAAATAAAATTTGGCTATACCTATCTACCAATCAAAATTTTAACACTCCGGAACCGATGCTTAAACTAAGTCAGGGGCATCCCTATTATGATAGAAGCCACTAAAAAGATAAACAGTCAGATTTGGAGTAGGCAGTCATGTCTCAAAATCGTGATCTTCAAAAGGAAACGTTTTTGTTGAGTTGTGATTTTTTTACCATGGCAATTGCATGGTAGTAAGACAGTCGTCCAGTCGGTTAAGGGTTAGACAAAATGCAATGTTACTATTATTTATTAAATTGTGAAGATTCGATTTTTACTACTGGGTATTACAGACTACAAATTGTGTTTGTAGACCTTAGAATTTCTAAACACTGGTTTCCTTCGAAAATGGCCTCTATAGATTTTTTTTAAACGTTGCCCCACATAAGTATTTTCTCCTGTGTCGTGGGTGCTGTTACAAACACAAAAATACAATTTCACATGCACATGACACCCAGACCCGGAACAACAATTTGTGGATCACACAAAGAGCTGTTCCGTGCGGAAATCGAACCCGCGACACGTTGCACGGCATCCAGTTGCCCAGCCACAGCACCAACCGTGCAGTCAAATTTTTATTGAAAACATTTATATAAAGTTAACACGAATCACGTTAAACTGTTTGAATACATTTTGGTAATCAACATATTCATTTACTTGCGTAATTTTGTACCAATGATGCGGGTAGTGCTTTCAAATTTTATTGGGAAATAATTAACTGGAATAGTTCACTTTTATCAGTTTTGTAATACAATAACGTTCCCCTGTTCCATTTTATTAATTAAAAAGATTAATCAATATTAAATATCATAGGTAAATTACTTTCATCCACATTTATCGTTGTCATTATTAAAATATTATCCGGAAAATTAACTTTGAATAATTGGTCTCCGAATGATTAACCAACAATTTTAATTCAGTAGCCTTATAAACATAAATATAAATTTTTATGTAACCCTATTAATAAAATAAAAGTGGAAGAGTCACTCTTCTGCAGTAGGCTAGGCTAGACCTAGGCCTCGGTATAGTAGACGTACCTAAAACACGGCGAAGGAAGCGGAAACACAACTAGCCTGAAAAAGCCACCACAGATGAGGTCCAAGGAATCCAGCTGGGGTTTTTTTATGTAGGTCGGCAAACGAGCATTACCTGATGGTTAGTAATCAGCGCTGCCCATGAACACCTACAACGGAGGAGTTACAGGTGCATTGCCGACCTTTTAGGGATTAGGGATTTGGAGACTTAGGAATTGGGGAAAGGGAAGGATTGGGGCTCCGGGAACACAACTCACACGGCGAAACACAACGCTGTGGTTGTTTCACGGCAGTTTTTCTGTGAGGCCGTGGTATTACTACGATTGAGCCGACCCATTTGTGCCGAAGCATTGGCTCTCCCACAATGTGCCGCGGCCTTACTCGTAGCAGAAGAAGGAAAGGGGTGGTTTTTGTTCAGTAAGAGTCTGACACTCTCTCTCGGCCTATTCAAGACGGGACAAGACATAATATGATGATTTTCTCCCTCAAAAAACATCTAGCCTTAATTTGCTAAATTAAAATGAAAATAAGAAATGTGATCAAGATACTACTTAAAATTAATTTTAAGTATAAACACGAGCGAAAGCAGCGAAACATTCTCAGTACTCCTGTCTTAAGCGGCGTTGATTAATTATGTGAATTAGGTAAGGTTGCCTCAGTAACAGGCTCGTGGGACATTTTGTCAGTACCTTTTCTTAAAATATATTAACAAGATACATGTATATTATAACCGACATATATTAATACGTAAGAAGAGATTGTGGATTAAATATTTAGGTATTTATATGGTATAACTGATAGATTGGCTTTGAGTAAGGTTAAACCATGCTAGTAGAGACGGGATTACGTTTCAATGATCAGTCCAAACGTCTCAAGACTCGACCGGGCTTTGAAAAGCATAGAGAAGATACCTAATGTTGCTGAAGACTGTTTCGTTGCTAAGCACGATGTTGTCTTCCTAAATTTGTCACTATGGTTTATTGGTAGCGTAATTTATAAAAGAATCTCAATATAACTATCCATCAAAGAATTTTATTTTAACTATGAAAAAGTTTCTATATAAAAATCTCCAGTCTACTTTTACAAACATAAAATTAACATCAATTGTGAATCACAGAAAAAGTTCTTCCGTGCAAAGATGTAGACTGCAACCCCTTGCGCAACAGCCAGTTAACCAGACACCGCGCCGATTGTGATCTCAATACAAATACATAATAATGTGAAATCCAAAATTGACCCAATCAATCTAACCTAAGTGTAAATAACAATGGCTTCTTTGATGAAAACTAAAATAAATGTTTTACTAATGTTACAGGAAAGAAAGGAGAACAAACAGTTGCAGTGAAGACTCTAAAAGAAAATGCGTCAGAAAAAGAGAAAATAGACCTTCTGCAAGAGCTGTTAGTCATGAAGAACTTGGACTATCATCCTAATGTAGTTCAGTTGATTGGATGCTGTACAGAAAAGGTGAGAATTACTCCATAATTACGATGGATCATTACGTTTTTATCACCTAAGTATTACTTTTTATGGTATAAGTCAGCAAACGAGCAGATGGATTACCTGATGGTAAGCAATCGGCGCCGCTCATGGACATCCGCAACACCAAAGGAGTTACGAGTACGTTTCCGGCCTTTTGGGGATAGGGGTTGGGGATATAAGGATCGAGAAGGGATAAGGGGGAAGGGGCGGGATTGAGCCTCCGGTAACCTCGAAACACAACGCTGTGGTTCTATATGTGGACCCATTCGTGTCGAAGCAATTTGTGTAGAAACTTCCCTAACAAAAATTTTAATTTTCTTTACAGGAACCCACCTTAGTGATAATGGAATTTGTCAGCCTGGGCAAGCTACAGCAGTTCCTCAGAGACTCCAGAGCTGAACGTCACTACGGAAACACTCATGGAAGCCAGTTCCTCACATCACAGGATCTTACGAAATTCGCGTTCCAAGTCGCAAGAGGAATGGATTTCCTTAGTTTACAGGGGGTAAGTAATAAGATTAATATAAGTACTGCATTTTTAACAAACGCGATGTGAGTTAGTTACTTTTACCGTCATACTCAGAGGCATTTGATGGTTAGTTAACCCAGTCGGTCAAGTGCAAAAGTGACATGGCCCCGACCTGTAGTAGGCTAAGGAACGGGCTGGTTTTTAGTCTGTAGAAGTCTGTCATTCCTCGCCAGAAAATAACAGTTTTAAGCGAATGTTTCCAAAAAAAAAATGCAGATGAACAAAGCACCTAAAGCTGCAAACAGTCAGAAATACGTTGATAATGAAGTGGAAAGATTCTTTAAGTTTTAAATTCAGGCAAAAATAATTTAAGATGGGTTAAAACTATAGATAACATCCGTATAATGAGAAGAGATAGAAACCAAATTGTGAAAACCGAACCATAAGCAAAAAACCGAAGTATACATAAAGCTCTTTGATATGTGAGCCCCTGCCTACCCATATAAATAACAAACTCCTTATCATATGTCAAACGATAAAGAAAACCTTGAACAGCAAGGACATTGCTCCTATCTACGAAATAAACTTGTACAAAAAGTAGGACAGCCATGGAAAAAGGATCGTTTGAATTGGACCTGCCCCCATGTCATCTTAACTACACGTCAGTAGGGTGATTCCTCAATTTTATAACTTTGTTTTGCTTGGACAACATGCGAGTAAGTGGTACGCTCAGTAATGGGGTCAACAGTCAATAAAATATATCTCGACTAAGTACTTGTTTTTCCTTGAATATTTCCTAGCATTTGAATATTAAACAAGCTGTTAATTAATTACACTAGATAGACGCCAGCACTTTCCCTCTATTTTTTGTATAAAGGAAAAATCATAAAATGACTTCTCTCGCCCAGGGTGAGACGAGAGGGCGTATCAAACACATATTGACTAAAAATCGCCCGTTACTTCTCCTAATCTAGGCCGAGGCCGCAGTACCGTATTACTCTTGCCCCGGATGAACATCGGGCTTTGTCTGTGATGGTCTATTAGGTCTTTGAGGCGTGCGCGGAACGTTACGCACCGTACGCTCGGATCTTTAATCCCGTCGGTGAATGAACTGGTCTAAATCACTCTTTAAGTTTCTAATAATATCCTATATAGTAACTGGAGATAGTTAAAAATTGTTCTTTCGCGTCAACATTTCGAGCGTGAAAGACCCATGCTTTAACACGAATGGGTCGTCTTGATCAAAATGATACAAAACTGTGTTTTCTTGTGTGAGTGAGATTTCGAGGTATATCTTCAAATTCCTAACAACCTCCAAAAGGCCGATAACGCGCTTGGATGTCTGTGGACGGAACCGATTGCTACCATCGGGGGTACGTTTTCTTGTATTCCAGAAAAAAAACGTATTTTTTTCTCAAACCTCAACGTCTAAGTTTCATTGACATGATCCCGCTCCTGATCAATAATATAAAACCTACCTTAATGTACTTACAGAATAAATTGTGTGGAATATTACAAAGTGATCCCTAATTGACTTATTCAAACACCGTTTAACCGCGCCCTCCATACTTCCGTTTCGCAACAGCTTTCGCGTAAGTTAGCCGACGCCTTAACTTCTTGTAAATAAATCTTTTGTACAAAGTTTTCATTATCCTGAATAATTTACAGCAAAACAGGTCTTATCACTTATAATTTCTTTGTATACTAAACAATATTTACTTTGAAGTATCTCCTTTCAGATTTAGGCCAAAGTATTTAAAATATCAGAGTAAATTTTCTTTTGTCTTGTCAGGTTAGAGCAAAATTTCAACGTTACATATATCTTTTTTGCGTATAGTTTAATACCTAGAACGAAAGAGTGAAGTTATGGTTAGAATAATAATATGACACAATTAAATACAGCTTTACTTAGTAAATTAAAGACTTTTATTACTGAATGAATTTTACTATCCACTCAAACCGATTTTGATGAAATTAACACTTTTTTTATTTAGTTAGTCGGCAAACGAGCAGACGGATTGCCTGATGGTAAGCAAGGAGTCCAGGTCAACAACAGAAGAGTAACCTTACTCACACGGCGAAATATAACGCTGTAGTTGTTTCACGCCGGTTTTCTGTGAAGCCGTGGTATCGCTCCGGTCAAGCCGATCCATTCGTAGCGAAGCATGACTCTCCCACACTTAAATACTTGGTGGAACCTACTTGAAAATACACAAATTCGCGCGGAATAAACGCACTTCAAGTACCTATAGCTCGCTTAAACATTTCCAAGGTACACTTTAAATCTAAAAATAAAATGTCTACGTGTAAGCTATTTCATTTCGTTATTACAGAACGTCAGGCACCCTCTTGGAACGTAAAAAGTTATATAAACAACGCATTTACTCATAAAAAGAAGAAAATATACTTTAAGGACTTAAGATTGAATATTCTTCTTGAGAAAAGCCTTGAAAATATGATCTGTATATTAAAAGCTTTTAGTTGTATAAAAATCTATGTCGAGGAGGTAAAAATAAATTTATGTTCCTGCGTGAAACATTTTATCATTTCTTCTTTTATGCAACATTGCTATGTATATTTTGACAGGCACAGGTTTTTATTAGCCGGTAAGTCATCAAGCTAAAAATAAACTCAAAAACACATACAATATACTTGAAATAAAACGTATTAAAACCAGTGTTTTTATAAATAAGTTCATAAATTATTTCATTTAATCACGAAGTATCGAAATATTTGTCTATATTAAAGTGGGTGAGAGAGGATTAATGGACACTGGGTCCGCTAAGGATTTTGAGATGACGTCACAGAGGACACCGGAGTCACAGCCGGAGTTTAGTAGTGATTGAAATCCAGCTACCTACAACAACGAACACCAGCCCACTTTTTTGTCAGGGGAAAATCATTACCTAAGTGACTTCTCCCGCACAGGGAAAGGCGAGAGAGAGTGTCATACTCTTACTGACTAAACCCCCACCCCCCCCCCCCCCGTGCCTTCTTCTGCTTTAGGTCGAGGCCGCGGTGCCACATTGCACCTACTCCGCAACCCTGGCTGAACATTAGCCCTAAAGGACCCCTTTTGTGGTAGCCTATTGCGTCTTTGAGGTGCGCGAGGAAAGCTACGCGCCGTACACTTGGGTCTAACACCACCCCTTAACATTGTCATTTTCAAGAATCTTTGAAGTTAACAGAATGCATTCGCATTTCGAATTTATTCCTTTGTATAAATCCAATTATTATATTTATTTGGAAATTAAACGAGAGATAATTTAGCGTTAACAAAAGTAAAATGTATTGTTTGTTACTGACCGTTCACAAAGAGTACTGAACTTCACATAAGCGTAAAAATAAAATCCATTTTTGTTTTAAATTAAATTAATAGGTACAAAACAGTATGGTTTCCAAAGGCATTTCGTTTGAAATATCTCCTTTGATGCTAACAAATTGCCCGTAAAATATTGTTGCCAATCTGAAAACATAATAATATACGCTATTTTAAATATGTGTCGTCAAACAAAATTAAATTGACCAATTATTTTTTAAGGACTTATTAGCCATTATTTTCTTGTCAAGAGCTCCAAGATTAAGTGGTAATATCTATTACTTAGGCTGTGTTATGAAACAGCCTTTGCAAGTAATGGTGAAGATTAATTTTGGAAAAAAAAATCTTTTGTTCTTTGCTTCTTCTCAAATTTACGAGTAATCGTCGACTTTTATCTTGTGGGGTTTTGACCTCAATATTAATGTAGATCGTTAATGTAAGACTTTTTACTTTTAAACAACAATGCTGATGATGGTCACTTAAAATACTCAATTAATAAACTAAGTATTTTTTTTCTGGATTTTGTTTTGGTGGCTCAGTTTAAACTATTGTCCGTTGTTTTTGTCTAGGATTATCATTAATGGGTTCAATTATTTTGTAGTATCGTGCATTCTAATAAAGCGGTACTTAGGTATCATAAAATATTGATAGGAAATCATTTTACAAAAAATAGCTAATTGAAATGTACCTAAGCTTTTACGAATACGATTATTTCCCTGTTAAAGCATATTTAGTATAAACTCATTTCACATTTAGAATCTTATCTGTATATATTATAAAGAGGTAAAATTTGTAAGTTTTTTATGTAGGGGGTAATCTTTGGAACCGCTGGTCGGATTGCCAAAATTATTTCACTGATTGATAGCTACAATGTTCCCGTGTGCTATAGGCTATGAAACCGCGCGAGAGTAGCTAGTTTTATATAAAATGAGATGAAACGAACCATGTTTGATATAATTCATGATGAAATTGCGCTAATCATGCATCATTGAATGATCCACTCTTCTTGGTCGTAGACATATAATTATCTTTATATATAAAAATGGATCGCAAAATGTGTTGGTAAGCGCATTACTCAACAACGCCTGGACCAATTTTGCTAATTCTTTTTTTGTTGTGTTTGTTACTGTCAGGAGACGGTTGTTATTGAAGAAAATATTAGAAAAGTAGAGGGGAAGAGTAGGAAAAGTGACTCTTTGACAGCGAGATAGTTACCCGTGCGAAGCGGGGGCGGGCCGCTAGTACAAAATATAAATGGGTTTTATAATTTTCCACATATTCTAAATAATACGTGGGTATAATTTCGTATTTGTTTCAGATAATCCATCGAGACTTGGCAGCAAGAAACGTGCTGATCACAGAAGACAGGGTGTGCAAAGTTGCAGACTTTGGTTTCGCCAGAGATGTAGGAGACACTCATGTATATGAGAGGAAGAGTGATGGACGACTTCCTATCAGGTACTGTTTTAATGTTTATATTTTAAACTAGTGGCTCACAAATGCTTTGCTCGGGTTCAACTACCTACTTGGGAGAATTCAAATACCTCGGTGTCCGTCATTTGTTTTCATATTGAAGCACTATGTCATCGTTTGGATTATTTTATTATCCTTATACTGGCTATTGTCGCTCGATTTTAGCCGCGTCTCGGCGCCTCGATCCGTGATTTTATTTTTAACAACTGTTCCTTTCCGTCTCAAACAACTACAATATAAAGCTTAGGTACTAAGGATATACAAAATATACTAAACAATATTGTAGCCCGCAGCGCTGCTCACAGATTATCTGTGGGATACTTAAGGAAAATCACTAGGTTGAGAAAATTTTAATTAACTTGATTTTAATAAAAAGTGATGTTTTGTAACCTTCCATGAAAAATCAGCTATCCACTACAAAATGAATTTAACATTATTCTATCCAGCAGTTTCTTAGAGAAGTGCGTTTAAACAAACTCTTCAGCCTTTAGTATAGATTTTTTATCTTCTGCTATAAATGGATGTGTTTGGAACCGTTAAAAACATATTATGGACTGCACTGTTTGTACAGTAGCTGTGGAACTGGCTGCTATGCAACGTGTCGTGGGTTCGATATCCGCACGGAACAACACTGTTTGTAAAACGCACCTACGACAGATGAAAATACTAAAGTGAGGCAAAGTTATTTAAAAATAAATATATAAAATATAATTATATTTAGTCCAGATCATTTAATAAGCAGTAAAACTAAAATAACAGGTGCAGTTGTCGATTCAAAGTATAAAACGGTGCACAACGCCCCGATATAACGAGTGCTAGAACTAAGAAAGGAAATTTCAAATTTCCACAAACGGATATTAAGTTCCCCTACAAATAACAAGCACCTGCGATTTAGTTCGCTCGAATTTTGGCTTTCCACGTGGGGATTAATTAAGGAAGAGGTCAGTCTAAATTAAAATAGTGGAACAACCGTTTTAACTATGATTAAAAGCTGCCTTTGCTGCGGCCAGATGACGGTTAAGTAACTATTTTTTATAGTTTTTAAATTCGTTCTAAGCCTAGTATAGTCCTTCACAACACCAGAGAAGTTATAAGTGCTTCTAGGACTTAATGACTGGACGTTTTTAAATTTCGAAATTTGATATAATATTTGAGATATGGGAAAAGAATATTTTTACAAAAAAGAGTAGCAATTCATCCGTCCTTAATTAAAAACTTATCTATACTAATATTATAAAGAGGTATAATTTGGAAGTTTGTAAGTTACAAATATACACACTTACATTTTGTATGTTTGTAAGTTTGTATGTAGAGGGTAATCTTTGGAACCGCTGGTCGGATTGCCAAAATTCTTTCACTGGTAGATAGCTACAATGTTCCTGAGTGCTATAGGCTAAACATCAAGCTACGATCAAATGGAGCTAAGCAGCCAATTAGTGATCGACGTAAGCAGCGGGTGAAAACGCGCGAGAGTAGCTAGTCGTTTATAATATAACTAGTATTTTAGGTTACAAACCCACTTACAACAAGCGAAGGTCAAGGCTTCTGGCAGAAGCTAGTAGTTAATAGATTTTAAAACGAAGTGAATCTTCAATAACTTGGTAAATTATTAACATAGTTGTGTAGTTTTAGTTTCAAATTTATTATTATATTATATTGTTTAGTTAGTTTTCTCTCTGCGAACCACACTTCGTATGTGAACCTACAGGGAAATCCAAAGTTAATTAACTAGAAGTTTACTCAGCTTAGGTATCATAACTTGAAAATATTACAAAACTAACTTCAATTAACAATTTCGACCGCGTAACCTGTGTCATTACCATGTGTCATTCCCTATTATACCTATATAATAATAACCCAACGCTATTCCAAAACCAAAATTGGCGTTAGGACGTTTGGGTTGACGTAAATCGCGATACGGTTCTATTACACGGCGAATGGTAAGAGTATGTGTAGTAGCCAATAAAATTGTGAAACAACGACTGTCGCAACCGAGGGCCGGGCACGCTACCATAGCAGCGGTAAGACCCCTCTTTGAGGAGTGGCTTGGGAGACGCCACGGCGTCCTCACCTTCCGTCTGACGCAGGTGCTTACCGGGCACGGCAGCTTCGGTAGGTTCCTGTTTCGGATTCAGCGGGAGGAAACGCCCGAGTGTCGTCATTGTGAGGACCACCTAGAGGATACGGTGGAGCATACGGTAGCGGTATGCCCTGCCTGGGCTGAGCACCGCCGTATCCTCAGGGAAGTGATCGGCAGCGGCGACCTCTCGCGCCCGGCCTTAGTCGAGGCCATGGTGCGGAGTGAGAGGAACTGGGACGCCGTCTCCTCCTTTTGTGAAGCAGTCATGCTCGCAAAGAGAGAGGCGGCCCGCGTGAGGGAGCAATCCTCCTCCTCACGCCCCAGCAGCCGCAACTGGCGACACTACGGGCGTCGGGGATCGAGGGACGATCTCCGGCCACCGTAAGTACGGGCCTGCGGTCGGCGAGTAAGGGCAGCTCGCCGCCCGACCAGAACCAGGCCCGAGCGTACGGCGCGTAGCGTTCCGCGCGCGCCTCAAAGAGCCATTCGACCACCACAGACGGGGCCCTAAAGGGCTGATGTTCAGCCGGGGTTGCGGGGTAAGCGCAATGAGGTACCGCGACCTCGGCACAGAGCAGGAGAAGGAACAGGGGGGTTTTTAGTCAGTAAGAGTCTGACACTCCCTCCTGCCCGGCCCTGGGCGGGAGAAGTCATTTGATGATTTTCCCCCTCACAAAAAAAAAAAAAAGCCAATAAAATTTTCTTTTCTATCGATGATTCCTGGCTCCAAAGCAATTTAAAAAGAAATTGTTCACATTCTTTATTTCCGTACCGAATGTTGTCAAAGTTCATCCAGTAGTGTGTGCCTACAACAGTATTTATCTACTCTTATTTACAAAATTTGCTAAAAAAAATTACAACATCACAGCTGTTCTTGTTAGAAGTTACATTATAAAAACGTTGGCCTTCTGCTTGGATTTTCTCCTGTGTCTTAGGCGTGTTTATTAATATACAAAGTCACATACACTTAACATCCAGAGCCGAAACAATAATTTGTGGATCACACAAAGTATTGTTGTGCCGTGCGGGAATAGAACCCACGAGACATTACTCAGCAGCCAGTTCCCCAGTCACTGCACCAACCGTGCAGTCACGAGACACTACTCAGCAGCTAGTTGCGCAGCCACAACACCAACCGAGCAGTTAAACAAGAAACTTTACTTTTTAAGAATTTGATAATCCTACTTAATAGTATACATCTCAATATTTATTTTGTTACAATGTATGATTGTGTGTTTGTTATTCTTTCACCCAAAAATTAGGGCGGAAGCTAGTATAATTTATTTTCACTCATTAAACCATCAAACTAAATATACCTAGAAAATAACTAAAATGCTTCCTTCTTTTGTTTTCAGATGGATGGCGCCCGAATCTTTATACGACAATATATTTAGTGTTAAATCAGATATTTGGAGTTTCGGCATCTTACTGTGGGAGATCGTGACCCTCGGGTCCACACCGTATCCTGGACTGTCAGCTAATGACGTCATGAAAAAGGTTAGTTGCCACCTTATATGTTTTTCCTTCTACCAAAGCGAGAGAAGTCCTTTGATAATGTTTCTAATTGAAATATAAATTACATCGAGAAGAAGGGAGTATCGCACTCTTACTGACTAAAAACCACTCCGTTCCTCTTCCTGATCCAGGCCCAGATGGCCGCGACACATTATTGAGTTTCCATCCATAACTTTTTTAAGTTATCTATGTAACATATGTATTAGTTTATGATTTAATGTTATAATATATTTATGTACTGTATTCTCTATGGGCCTCAGATGCCTTAAATAAATAAATAAATAAATAAATAAAATAAAAAAATAATCCATACAATGAGCGTCATGGTGGAGTCCGACCTACAGTACGGGTTTTAAAAAAATCAAAGATGAATACTTTTAGCAACCTGGAAAAATCCGAGTCAGCAGTTATATTAGCAGCTACGTACATATTTGGTCCTTATAATGTATCATTGAGGAAATATCCAATTTGGTCCTGGGCCGGTAGTTTCATTTATAAGCGCTAAGTTTATTAAACGACGAAGTGATTTGTGTATGAAAATATAAGATAATGAACAAATAAATCAATTTCTTACTTAATTAGGTATTAATTTCGATGACCCTCGTATTTTTTCTATTATCAAGAGAATATAGGGACGACCCTCTGATAGTCATGTTTACCTTTTTTTATTTCACTACTAACTTTGTACTCGCGAGTTTACCAACATAATGTATTCATTATAAAAGATATTATCTTGTCACTCACAAAACTTATATTAAAATTCTTATATACTTACGCTCTTTTAAAAGTGACGGTGAGGAAAGACAAACAAATTGACTGCAACTAATTAAAAATAGATAATAAAATGTATTACAGATTATCACACAGAACAAAATATTAGCTTTTTAAATTTTTTTAGTACCTAATATAATATTTTCTGTATACCTAGTAATATTTCCACTAAACCGTTATAATAAACGACAGGATATTCTGTGTCGCAAAATAACCCAACCCATCCACACAATAATCAGCTAGTTAGTCAATTGACGACTCCATTTTGGTTGGGAAAGCCCCTAGTTAAAATATGGAAATTACGACTGCTATGGGATAGCCGAAACACTTAACCTATTAATGAATAAGGCCGAGTTCATATAAAGATGATTTAACCGTTGTAATGTTGGTATATAAAACACAAAAGAAAATACATTATTTCTCGCGTGGATCCACGTATGAAACACGCGATAGGTTAACAATATGCTTAACTCTTTGGTTTTTTTGTTATTTCCTTTTGAGATACAGTCTACCAATAAAATATATTTTTTTTACCAGATAAGGAACAATATTACTTATTCCGTAAGTTTTTATTAACACTGTTTATTAGGTAGGTACATAAAAAAATAACAGGAATACATTCTTAACTACCCAATAATTATCAGTTAAAACCTACTTACTTGTGACAATAAATCATCGCAATTACGTAATTTACTTTGTATAACACTTACAGAAGGAACAATAAATGTGCATTGACGGTATATATGAAAAAATCTTTAACCGTGCTAGCTAAAAACTGTGTTATGGTTGGTTGTAACCTGCGGTTGGAACGGTAACTGTGTTCAGCCGGGTTTGCGGGGTAAGCGCAATGAGGTACCGCGACCCCGGCACAGAGCAGGAGAAGGAACAGGGGGGTTTTTAGTCAGTAAGAGTCTGACACTCCCTCCTGCCCGGCCCTGGGCGGGAGAAGTCATTTGATGATTTTCCCCTCACAAAAAAAAAACGCTAACTGTGTTACAGTTCAAGCTTTAACTCTGTAGGCTCTAATACACTCTTGCTTGTCCCCTTGGGTAGAATGCGTTTTTATCGTAATGGAAATATTTTTTTTTGCAAGACAAGTTTATTGACCTCAAATTTAATAATATTGATAAGGAGGGTTTGCCCTACCACATAAATCGACGCGGTTATTGTATTATATAATTGCTGATAAGATGTGAGGCAAGTCCGTAATATTAGTCTTCGAAAAAACTTATTAAAAGTTCAGGAGGTCACATTAAAGATATTATAAATTCAGTATATAAGAAGGTACATTTTACCACTCAAATCATTCGCTACACTTTACCAGTGGTAACAAACTAGCCATCAAGATGCGCTTTCTGTTCGTTGTCGCATTGTTTGCCATGGTGGCGCTGTGTGCCGGCAATACATGAAGGAAGCCTCCATTCGGTGCTCGTATCAAGGTCAGGATTGTGGGGAATGCTGCAGTCAGTACATGCCTGGACCTGGTCGCGAGTGCCACGAGAAGATCACAGTCTGGGGACAACCGAACAAGGCGGACAAATACGCCAAGTGCAGGTGTATCTGTGAGGCCCCGTCCGACATTGCTAACTTCCTCAACGGGTTCATGACAAACGGATTCAGTTTTTCTGGAAAGAAGAAGTAGTGTGGGTAATACGTTTTTTAATGCCCATATATTGTAACAATTTTCTCATATAACTACACGCAATAAATGTTTTTGTACATTTGACGTATTTACGTGTGGGAGGGCCATGCTTCGGCACGAATGGGTCGGCTCGACCGGAGTGATACCACGACCTCACAGAAAACCAGCGTCTTTTTCTCTTCTTCTTTCTTCTTGTGTTTCGCCGTGTGATTGAGGTTACCGGAGGCCCAATCCTTCCCCTCCCCCAATCCCTCCTCAATCCTTAGATCTCCAAATCCCAAATCCCTAAAAGGTCGGCAACGCACTCGTAACTCCTCCGTTGCGAGTGTCCATGGGCGGCGTTGATTGCTTACAATCAGGTAATCCGTCTGCTCGTTTGCCGATCTATTACATAAAAAAAAAAATTTTTGCGTTAGATTAATGGCCCTACATTTAATATCTGCTTATTAAATTAAATTGAAAGACAACTGTTATTATTAATTCGAAATACGAATAACGTGGCATTGTGCCCCGCCTCAGTATGGCCTTACCCTAGTGTATTTGACTTACACATTGGTTTTCCCATCACTCCATACATTAGGCCGTTTTATTAAATTAGACAATAACTGAATCACACCCAATCAGACCTTGTCTTCAGTATAAAAGAAGATACATTTTCTTGGCAAATCATTCGCTAAGCTTCAACACTAGCACGAAGTCAGTACTCAAGATGCGTTCTCTGGTCATCGTGGCAATTTTGGCGCTGGTCGCAATGGCGTTTGGCGCTAGGACTATGAAGCAAGCTTACATTCGCTGCTCCCATGTCGGCCAGGATTGTGGAAAGTGTTGCAGTGACTATATTCCTGGACCTGGTCGCGAGTGCTATGAGAAGATCACTGTTTGGGGACAGGAGAACAAGGCAGACAAATATAGCAAATGCATGTGCATGTGTGAAGCTCCTGTCGATGTGGACACCTTCCTCAAAGGGTTTCTTACAAATGGATACAGTATGTCTGGAAAGAAGAAGTAGTTCGGACATTAGGCATCCAACATTTTATTTTATTTTTTTACTTTGCTTTTTTTGTAATCTGATTTTTATGTGCCGCCAATAAATGTTTATGCATATCTTTCATAGATTGGTTTTTTGATTACCTGTTAAGGATTTGTCTTATTTAGATGTTGGTCGTTGTTTGACTCTTTGTGCGATCTACAAATTCTTTGTGTGGGTCTGACTGTGATGTGTTTGTAAACGCATTTACGATACAGTAAGACATTTTTTACAGAACAGAAGGGTATAAATTATTATTGTTGGGGATATATTTTTGGGAGAGCCAAGCTTCGGCATGAATGGGTCGGCCCGACCGGAGTGAAACCACGGCCTCACAGAATACCAGCGTGACAACAACCCACAGTGTTGTGTTTCGCCGTGTGAGTGAGGTTACCGGAGGCCTATCCCTTCCCTTTCCCTATCCCTCCGATCCTAGTATCCGCAAGCCCCCAAAAGGCCGGCAACGCACCCGTAACTTCTTTGGTGTTGCGGGTGTCCATGGGCGGCGCCGATTGCTTACCATCAGGTAATCCGTCTGCTTGTTTACCGACTTATACCATAAAAAAACGTATCTTTAACTCTTGAATCTGCGATTTTTGCACAAACTTTACAAACAAAGCATTATCAGTGTGGTACTAATTAAACAGAGTATCATACACACATAAATATAATTAGAAATGTATGAACAGATCTATAAATCACTTGGACATTTATCTCCTATCATTTATCACAGAGGGCCACCGCTCAATATACATAATTAATATTTTAACCGGACAACGATGCAGCAAAATCGTCCTTGTTGTTTAGGGAATAAGTAAGGAATGAGCGTTACGAAAACATACATATAATTTTAAATAGTACTCAACATTTGGGCGTTTGAAGTACTCCTCAATGTGTGATTTGCTTGTAGGTAATAAAGGAGTATTATGTATCTACTACTACACGCGAACTCGTATTACATACTTCGTACTATAGGCGAAAATGTAAAAAAAATACATAACAAAACTAGACTTGTATCTAAGTTATATCTATATTCATCATATGTTTTATTAAAATGAATACGTGGACGAAAATTATAAATGTATTTTAAACATGAACATTAAAAAAACAGCTTTTTCCTATTCTACTTTCGACAACCATTTGCATTATAAGGAAATTGAACTCCTCGTTTAGTTAATAGATTCACTAAGGGCTGATTTTTCAATAGTCAGATAAATGTTATCTAAGGAATAAAATTCTTGCTGTCACTGTCTTATACAAACATTCTGACGCGACAGCATCATAATTATTCCTATGGTAACTTTTATCTAACCATTGAAAAATAAGCCCTAAAGCTGGTACTATTAGTTTTAAATGACGAGTTCCTTGTTCAAACATCGTTCTCGATCCAGCTCGCTTACTTAATACGCTCTCTCGTTGACGTGACTTGACGGATACTTACAAAGTTGAAGACATAAATTTAAACTTTTTCCTGATATTCTACTTGTGACATCTTAATCTTAAGTTCGCCTGTGAGTTAGATGAAGTTATATTATTTCAATTCACTTACACTTTGTAGTATAAAGTAGGTCGTAGATATTATTTTTATTTCTTGCTTTTTGGCGTTTATTTTTTTAAATTGATCTCCGATGTAAATAAGAATTTTCTCTTATTTTGCATGTTAACTTATACATAACACATTTTGTGAAAAAACACATTTCGTATAATCGTAAAAAGAGGTAAAATTTTTAAGTTTGTGTGTAGGGGGCTAATTTTTGGAACCGCTTGTCGGATTGCTAAAATTCTTGCACTAATAGATAGCTACAGTGTTCCTCAGTGCTCCTAAATGCTATATAGGCTATAAAACATCACGCTACGATTAAATGGAGCCGAGCAGCGTGCAAAAAAAGTAAATACCTCATAAATTGATTAAAAATGACTTACTCACGTGAAAGACAAAAATTAATTTAACTCTCACACTCACTACTACAATGACTAAAAAGAACATTGAAAAATGTCCATAAAATTTTTATATACAATACTAGTAAACTTCAAACCTTAAACCTTTACGTCAGATGCACTTTCGATCCATCGTTCGATGAACGGAGCAGCACCATATTATTATTTTTACTTCTTCTGAGTCTAACCCACCGAATATCTTATCTTAATCATCCTTATCATAACAGGGAACCACAATAATAATCTTTACTAGATACTTGTTATTTTAGGATTAAAATTCCAGGAACAATATTAACTTGAATCGGAATTGCTCGCATTCATGTTCAGCAATAAAAGAGGATGATTTCATCGTGAATGGGGTGTATCAGAATGTATTTTGTGACATCGATGGTTGATATGGTTCTGATGTTAAAATCCGGAATTTCTTTTTCGGACTCGTACATATAAACATCAATGTTAAACCATCGAAAATCTTTGTGAAATGAAGCCGGTTAAAAAGGATCCCCTTTGATGACGAAATATCATATTTTGTTATATTCAATGTAAAATTCTCGAATCACATTGTCAGTTACCTTAATCCTCCGAAACAGTTTTACTGATTTATACCAAATTTTATATGTATATTGAGGAAAAGTCATTTGATGATTTTCCCCTGTCTAAACCCAAGCTTTGACTTCTAAAACACAATTGCGTTCTAAAGATGTTAGAAATCATCTGTAACTTTCTACATTAGAAAAAACCCCTAAAATTATATTGAAAATATATTTTCAAACAATTAAATACTTCAGCTTAATCTATCCCAGTCCACTACTAAAAAGACGGAGGCCAATGTCCAGACGCGACAGGACACTTTATATTAATCTCTTATTTAATTAATTCTCTTATTTTTTTCCAGGTCATTGAAGGTTATCGTCTAGAAAAGCCGGAGCACTGCCATCGGGAACTTTACAACATAATGTATTACTGCTGGGAAGCCGAACCCAAGGACAGGCCAGATTTCGCAGACATCGTCAATAGATTAGAACTTCTAATTAATAAAGACATGGACTACATACAATTAGAAAGGTTCCCAGATCATTCTTATTACAATCTCCAACATTTGGATGGAGAGAAACTATGATTAGAATGGTGAAATAATTTTCGGGCATAACTTTTGTACCTATGACATTTTTTGTTAGTAATTTAATGAAATGAAAATGTAGGTATTTTTATACCAAGCAAACTGGTTCGATGTTTTTAATTTTGATTTTGGTGGCTAGCAAAGCTTTTTATTAATAAAATTGACAGTAATAGGGAATTTCGTAATACGCAATTCTTAAGTCTTCATTAAGTAAAATGTATATAAGAATGTAATAAACAAAACGTTTGGTACTCAAAATATTAATTTTAACTTTCATTAGTGTATGTAACATATTGTGCGTTATTTAGATTTAAATATAATTAATGTATACCTACAGTCCTTTGCTGTTGTGGTAGGGGTAATTATGTAAATAGGTTTTCGAACAAAATAAGAAACAAACACATTTTTGAAATACATTTAAAAATAAATTAAACAAAATTCTTGAACAACGACTTCATCATAAATCATTCATTAATGACATAAAAAAATAAATCTACGAATATTTAAATTAAATAATGTATTTCGTATAATGTTTTATTATATTTTGGTAATATTGTGTTAAAATAAAACAAAACGGAGATTAAAAATATTTTTAATGATTTGCAATAATATTTTTAAGTTATTTTAATTTTTCACATCTAGACTAGTCTTTAGGATATTACGATTATTGTAATAGAGAATAAATTAAGATTCGTATTTTAAATGTACAGTACATTTAAGCTAATCCTTAAAAGGAACGCACGATCTGTATAAATAAATAAATGTTTTGTTGTATACTTTGGTATTTTATTTAGACGATTTTGTATTCTGTTTCTATTTCACTAAGTTGAAGTTTCGTTTAAACAGAGCAAACTTTTTCTGAAAAAAACCTGTCTTTACTAAGACTTCGGCAATAAGAATGAAAATGCCACTAACATACCCTAAGAATAAAGCAAAGAAACCGCCTTGAAGATGTTTCGCAGACAGTGGACTAACATCGGATTTTTCCTTTAATAAATCTCGCAGTTGGCGAGCTCTCCTTCTTTCAGTAAATTCTTTAAACTGATATCTCAAGGCTTCGTTTATACCGCTCTGTTTAAATAGTGTTATTGTTGTCGAAAACTTCAACATAAAAGGGAACCCTCTCAGCGCTATAGTTTCTATAGGTACACTAAAAACGTTATCAGGGAAAGTAAAATAATTATAGTTTCCTGTGGTGTCACTCAGTTGAGGTGTAACTGCAGATATATGAGACAGCTCGAGTCGACTACACAGCACAGAGAAATTCCTATGAACTGCAACGTCTATCAAAGCTTCAGTAATATTCTCAATGGAAACCCATTTCTCACCAATCAAGTTATCAAAAGGATCCGACGAATTATAAAACAAATCACGGAGTACTCCAAAACCACCAAATTTTATACCACTGTCAACCAACTCTTGGACAGTTTTCATTTGATAATCGTAACTAGGTCTCGTCAGAACATCAAATAGTTTTGTTTGATACGCTGCTGAGAATAGCATACAGTATATATTAAGAAACACGAAATAAACACGTAAACTGTCTTTCTTTGGATGTAAGTATGAAACGAATCCCATAGTAGTTATCCAAGTATTAAGAAAACAATGAAAAAATGATTTGTTGTATTTTGAATCACCACTAAGCCGTCCAATAATTGTCCAAGTTATTCCACACAGTAAAAAACTGACTATAACAGAATACCATACCAATGTTTTGAATACATGTACTAGAGCCACCCACGGAGCTGTTTTGGCAGCTCTCGGGACAACCCAAGTATAAACATCTGCTAAATACGTCGTACTCGTTTCAAAATCTTCGTGTACGTCGAAATCTGGGAATATTCCTCCTAAAAGTAAATGACCATTCTTTGCTGATAATTGTTTTAGCGCTCCATTCCATTCACCAACATTTTCTCTTTCCCCTCGAATTTCCTCTAAGAAATGGTATTGCGCTTTCATTTTAAATCGGCGTAGCACTCTGTCGATCATAACTTTTTCAATACTGGCATTCTGTTCGCTTTCACTTATGAACGGCTGTCTC